TATATAAGCAAAGAAGAAAGTTTTGAGCTTAATACATGGTTGATATACAAAGCTGAACTTTTAAAATTTTTTAAAAAGCAAGGCTCATCTTTTTTCCCCAGAGAATGAATTTATGGAATGTTTTTATTATTGCAATTTGTGTTAAACCACAATGCATATAAAATTATCACTTCAAAATGTTTGTATACACAAGTGTACTTTGACCTGATTTTTGAACAACTTTAAAAATTTAAACTTGATCAAAACTATCATCTCAAACTTTCTACACAACATAAGAACATCTTCATGCCAAGCATCTTTTGCAAATCTTAAAGAGGGCGTAGCTCATTGACTGGGCGTGGCTTCATAACAATATTCATTATTTTTATTAGATCTAAATTAAGATAGTAAAATACACTCTGCCAACAACTGATAATACAAGGTCACATGATTCTGTTAGCTTAACAATAAAATCTACATTGAAAAGAAAAATGGCATTCTCGAGCAGGTCTTGTTTTCTATTGCTCCTGCTGGCTCAACTGATGACTGTATCTGGACAAGCACCTTCCATCCTACCCAGTAATGGTAAGAAAATTAATTTTGGTAATTTGTAGATCTATACTCATATTCAGGTGTTCAATTGTATCTACCTTATCAAGACAGGATAATACCTGATTACTCTATGACATATGCTAGCCAGTTTTATGATACTGATCGGAATAATGATGTTAATGATATCATTGATGCTTTGTGGTGTCAGAGTGCTAACAATGTTACTAATATTGGAGTGTGGTATTATCCTAATGGAACTGAAGTACCTTTATTTGATGGACCCTTTGATAATACATCAGCTCCTAGACCATTGTTCAGTAAGAGGTTCAGTGGTCAGATTGCACTAGCTAGAAGTAGTGGACTATCAGGATATGAAGGTTTATACAAGTGTATCATTCCTGATGAGAATGGAGTGAATCAAACACTAGTGGTTGGAGCATATACTGATACTGGATACAATAACAATGGTATGTGATGAATATAGACTATAATTAATGTACTTCTTTTACAGATGGTCCTGATGCTGATCCTACTATGCAGTTCTCTCTCCTCTCCATTAGTAGATTAGCTACTCCTCCAGTCTTCAGTCTCAGTTTCAATGTCTCTAATGGTCCTCCTACTACTGTCAGTTGTTCAGTAAATGGGAATGGAATATCTACTGAACTGTCTCGTGTGATAGTGAATGGACCAGGATCTGTTACAAGAGTGAGAGTAACAGTGAGACTGAGAGAAGCTGGTAACTATCAGTGTACTGTATCTAATACCAGAGTAACTGATGGTCCTATCAGTGTGGGTCCTACAGCAGTTACTAGCACTTCATCATTGAATATATCAGGTTTGAAATCAATTATTGCTATTATTATATGTAACTATTTAGTATCTGATACTCCAACTGGTTTAACTGCTACAAGATTAAGTACTGGTTTAGCTCATGTAAGACTCTCCTGGTCTACTGTATCAGGAGCTACTGGTTATGAGGTCTTCAGTAAATTCTTAACTTTAACTCCTGTTAGTGTAGGCACTACTGCTTCAACAACAATCAATATAACATCAGGATTGTTTCGAGGGAGTGCATACACTTTCTATGTAGTATCTTATGGATCAGCTTCTCTACCTAGTGGTAATGCTTCAGTTATGTTAACATTTAGTAAGTTAAAATAATCTTTATTAACCATATTTTTGTGTTTTAAATTAGATGATCCACTAGTTACTGATTTTATGGCTACATTAATTATAAGTACTGCCATTACATTAACATGGAGTCCACCAACTGCTATAGTACCAATTAGTTATTATATTAATAGGAGATGTAAGAGAGTATGTGAATCATCAACAACTGGTAATAGTGAAACATCAGTTTCATCACCACATACTTCAACTGGTATACCTCCTTACAGTCAATGTACCTTTGATCTTATTGGAGTATATGATATTACAGCTGAATTGACTATAAATTATTCAGCTGAAACACTTTCAACTGGTAAATTAATAGTCTGCTATTGATAGTTATTTGTCCTTTCCACTATCATTTAGCTCCTACTGTACCAGTGGATGATATTATATTCTCATCAGTAGAGTCAGTGTCAATGACTGTCTCATGGGATGAAGTACCTTGCAATCGAAGGAATGGACCAATCACTGGATACTACCTCACATACACTAACATCACTTCAAAGACTAGTTATACTGTTAATATCACTGGAGGAGACAACAGAATGTATAATCTCACAGGATTAATACCATATACTAACTATACTGTGAGTATAATACCTTATAATTATAATATGAATGGACCAGCTAGACAAGAAATACAATTAACTGCTGAATCAAGTAAGTCAATGAGATATTGATCAGTGTAACATAATCTTAACACAGTTCCTGGTGTGATAACTGATCTGGTACATTATAGGCCACCAACTGAAATTATTATTGTATGGAATCCTCCTACAATACCTAATGGTATCATTACAGTATATGAGATAAAATATAGAGAGTCTACCAGTACTGGTCCATACAATATAACTAACACTACTAACACTTATTACAGTATAGTAGAATTGATACCTAATACTAGTTATACTATTGGAGTGAGAGCATATACTAGTATTGGACCAGGAGAATGGACTGATAGAGAGTACACTACTATTGAAATACGTAAAAAAAAATTACTGAGAATACTATGATGATCATGTTTTAAAATTTTTAGCTGTCATTCAAACCTTTTCTATAACAAAGCTCAATTCTACAGCAGTGAGGGCCAAGTGGGGTTTTGTTTCTGGAGCTAGTCATTATACCGTCTATTATGAGTCAACCAGTAGCTCCTCAAGAAAGAAGAGACAAGTAGAGACAGGAATGAGAATATTCCCAGGTGATACTACTGAAGGTCTAATAGGAGGATTAGATCCTAATCTGAACTACTTGTTCTCTATATCTACATCATTTACTGTTAATGGAATCATTTATGAAGGAGAGAGGACTCAACCCGCAATACCACCAGGTAATACTGTAATAAGTTACTTCATTAATAATGCTTACTACATGTATTTAGGTGCTACTCTAACTCCTACTATTGTATCAAGCACTTCATCAGTCATTAGTGTTGCAGGATCATCAACAAGTAAAATAGTACATATACCAATAGATATATGTAATCAGTTTACTTTAGAGTAATGTCATCAATGGTGTCATTAAACATGAGTAAACATATCTATTGATGCATGTTTGTGTTTATAGTTTCTTATTTTACTGAAACAACTACCGTGACTACTACATTGACTACTACCATGACTACTCCATTGACTACTGTATTAGTGAATAATGGAGGGAATATTGGAGTGATAGTTGGTCCAATTGTAGCTCTTGTTGTATTATTGTTACTGGCTATAATTATAATTATTATACTCGTACTGGTAATGTACATAAAAAGAACTAATATTAATCAAAAAAGGTAAATGTACACATTCATTACTGAATTAATGTTAAAATTGATAGAAAATCAGATAATGACATTGTAATGGAGTGCAGTCCAGCTTATGCTACAACTGAATTTAAAACAAAGTTAGTTACACTATTGACTATTACATTATGTCTATACACACACACATACAGTACTGCTGATGATATACTAATGAAGGATAGTCCAGCATACAGTACAGTACAACAAACACAGTGAGTTATATAAAATACAATTATTATTATTATTTAAAGTTATTATTAATAGATCAACTGTTGAGCCAGTGTATGATACAACTAATAATGAATATGAGACTCCTCTTCCACCACCTGCTGAATATGAAATACCAACTGTTTAATAATGTACTCTTCTTTTATGTACATATATTACTCTACAATACAATCAACATAATGTTTTTGATGTACATGCAAGTGTGTGTTAGTATAAGATGTGTATATATATTCTAAAATTATAAATGTTTATTTATGTCAGTTACTTAAAATAACATACCTATAATAATGACTCTTAAGTAGCAAAGTGTAATGAGCAGTATCATTCTAGGGAACAGAATGACACTGTCAACAAGCTCTTGTTTTACTTTACTCATACAACTACTAGTTCAACTGGGCACTGTATCTGGACAAGCACCACCTATATTACCTAGTAATGGTAAGAAGATAAGTATGTATTATTAATTACTAGACTATGAACTCATATTAGGTGTTCAACTGTACCTACCTTATCAGGACAGGATAATACCTGATTACTCTATGATATATGCTAGCCAGTTTTATGATATTGATCAGAATAATGATGTTAATGATATCACTGATGCTTTGTGGTGTCAGAGTGCTAACAATGTTACTAATATTGGAGTGTGGTATTATCCTAATGGAACTGAAGTACCTTTATTTGATGGAAACTTTATTGATCTATCAGTTCCTCAACCATTGTTCAGTAAAAGATTCAGTGGTCAGATTGCACTAGCTAGAAATGGTGGACTATCAGGATATGAAGGTTTATACAAGTGTATCATTCCTGATGAGAATGGAGTGAATCAAACACTAGTGGTTGGAGCATATACTGTTGATGGATACAATAACAATGGTATGTGATGAATATAGACTATAATTAATGTACTTCTTTTACAGATGGTCCTGATGCTGATCCTATTATGCAGTTCTCTCTCCTCTCCACTAGTAGATTAGCTACTCCTCCAGTCTTCAGTCTCAGTTTCAATGTCTCTGATGGTCCTCCTACTACTGTCAGTTGTTCAGTGAATGGGAATGGAATATCTACTGAACTGTCTCGTGTGATAGTGAATGGACCAGGATCTGTTACAAGAGTGAGAGTAACAGTGAGACTGAGAGAAGCTGGTAACTATCAGTGTACTGTATTTAATGAAAGAGTATCTGCTGGTACTATTAGTGGTGTTACTGCAACTACTAATGCTTCATCATTGAATGTATCAGGTTAATGGTTCTTACAATCAATAATTCTATTTATTTATTCTCAGTATCTGATACTCCAACTGGTTTAACTGCTACAAGATTAAGTACTGGTTTAGCTCATGTAAGACTCTCCTGGTCTACTGTATCAGGAGCTACTGGTTATGAGGTCTACTATCAACTGT